TACTGTGCATCCAAGAAATCTTCGTGAGCTTGAGGAAATATTGCAAGAAGAATGGAGAAAAATTCCATATATTAAACTTATAGAAACATGCCACATAGAATCGAAGCATGCATTAGGAGCCAAGGATGAACTACTGAATATTAAATGTCATGTTTATATCAAAAATCTCAAATAAATGAAATATTACCGGATACTTTTCCGAGGGTAGTGTAAATTTGCACCATCCAGGAACATCATTTGGTATCGTAGGTCGTACTCCTTTATAGATGTCTAATACAAGATCTCTACCATGACTTCGTTTACCGAATGGTTGTATTACAATTTCGTACATAACCATTCCAAAGCTATAAATATCTGCAGCGTCAGTATAACACCTCTGGACTCATATAAGGAAGGACTCCACAGATTTCTTGGTTAGATTTTTCAATATTTGTTGGAATGCTAAATCCAAAATTAGCAATATGAGGACCACAGTATATTAATAAATTTCCAGGATGAAGGTTATGATGCACAAATTTCTCCTTGCAATGTTCGTTAGTTGAATGATAAAATAATATAATATTTTAATTTTTGTTTCCAAGTAAATTTTTCGCAATTGGAATTAATATATTACCATTGTTCATTACTATCAAGCATTCATTCGTAGTTGGATTTTTTAGTTATTCCATAATAACCATAAGATTTAAATTTAAGAGCAGTTTGAATCTATTTTTGAAAATTTAATTGCATTAGAAAACAAAAGTAACTTTTACTTTAGAAATGTTCATTTTTTGCCTCGTGAATAAACTCTGACGTAATTTGCCTTGAATTGTGCGATGATTTCAACACAACTTTTCTTTCTCCTTTTCGTCAAATTTATTTTCTTTATGTTCCCACTTGGGATAGGGATAGTAATCGAATGGACCATCCAACCAGGTTACTTTATAAATTGACCCAAAACCTCCTTTTGCAAGACATTCAAAGTTGGTGAATCTATCAAAAGGAATCCATTCGAATAATTTTTTTTATTAATTTTGTTGCATTCTTTTATTAGATTGTCGATATCTTTATCTCCGCTAGACAATTCATCGTTATAAATTCGTTTGTGATATTTGAAACAGTCAACGCAGGAATTATTTTCTTGATAAATAGTACATTTACTACAATCATGAGTATTGTGAACTAAACACTCATCGCAGTATCGATTCTTTCGACAATCAGTACATTCATTACAAGGATGAGTATTTGATTCTATTTTTGAATTCACTTGATGTTTGTGAAGTTCACCATAGAATACATAAGACATTACTATCAAGTAACCGTTTTTAACTGGGCTTTTAGTCATTCCATAATATGCAAACAAGTTGCCGTAATCATAGCATTTAAGCCTAGTTTGAATCTATTTTAAAAATTCAATTGTATTTGAAACAAAAAGCAACTTTCACTTTAGAAAACGTTCATTTTTTTACCTCATTTATAAATTCTTGAGTAATTTGCTTTGAATTGTGTAATGATTTCAACACAACTTTTGCTTCTCCTGTCGTTTAAATTTATTTTCTTCATGATCCCACTTGGGAACAGGAATGTAATCATTATCATACATGTAGTATAATAATGGCCCATCCAACCAGGTAGTTTGATAAATTGTTCCAAATCCTCTTTTTTGCAAGATATTCAATGTTGGTAAATCTTTCAAAAGGAATCTATTTGAATTTATTTTCTTATTTATAATTTCGTTGCATTTTTTATTAGATTGTTGATATCTTTATCACCGCTAGACAATTCATTATTATAAACTCGTTTGTGGTATTTGAAACATTTCCAGCAGTACTCATTGTCTTGACATTTAGTACATTTATTACAATGGCTAGTATTCGCTCCCATCTTTGAGTTCAGTAATAAAATGCGTGAATTGGTTGAAATGTTAGTCGTTACATGTACATGCATGTATTTGGTGCAGCTTTTTATTTTCTGTGCTAAAAATTGACATGAAAGGTTAGTTTAGTTGTTAATGGGCCATAACTCCAATGGAGCAAGTCATACCCTAACCCAACCCAATTCATTAGTTCCGGAGTAATATTCCAAGTTATGATTTGGAGCACATGTATTTTTCCAGGTTATGCGACAAAGTAATACTCTAGGTTATGCTCGGAGTAATACTCTGAGTTTTGCGCCAACAATTATTTTACATGTACGTGTTGTACTAGTACATGTAGTTTATAATTCGTTTAAAATCCATTATCTTTGAAATTTAGTTTTTTAAAAATAGTCGTCGTTAAGGAAACATAAACGAAAATTAGAATCAATTAATAGTCACTTACCTTTATTTGCTATGCAAACTAATACTTGTAGAGTCTAAATATTTTATATACTTAAATCAATCTGAAATGTTTTTGCTTGAATATCAAAATAAATGTGCGTACCTTCTATCAGTTGGATTGATATTGATTTCGAAGTAAATATTCGACTCGTGTAAATTGTATTTGAGTGGATTTGTTGTTTTTTGTTTATTTTCGTAGGAATGTTTTTTCATTTCCTCGTCAAGTTCTTCCAATTTCTGTTTCTCTAGTTTAACACACGCTTTGATTTCTTCTGTTTTAGGATATTCTAAAGTGCTGTAATACTGAAAATGCAAAGTATTTTGTTTCCGCTTGTTATCATACATGACGATAGATCCGATAAACTCTTTATGTTCCTCGGCACTTGGTCTATTTTCTGGAATAGGATCCCAACATTTTCCGATAATAAATTTGCCTGATGCATGGTTAAAAATAGCATTTCATACTAGCTTCGGCTAAATTTTTATTGCTAGATATTTTATTATCTTTTATTTTTATGTAAAAACTTATAAGTAAAATCGAAGACTCCAATATAGAGCAACTTCCAATTTTTACGGTTCTTTAATAAATTTGACTTCCAGTGGAATAACTGTGAAAGAATGTTAGTGACTTATATATTAAATTTATAATCTTTTCATTAAGTAATTTAAAAATTAACTTCACGTGAAACCTATTCTAAAAAGCCTTAACTTCATTCCGTCATATTTGCTATTACTGTTATTATTATTAATATCATCCTTTTCGATTTCCATTTCATTAAAATCTTCATCATAACGAGGAAAATTCCATTCCACGAACTTTCTAGCGACCAGTTCACATGTGGCATACAACTTTTTTTTCACGATCACTTGTGAATTGTTTCGTAACGTGCAAATAAGGTCGAGAGATGTTTTGTTAATTATTTTTATGTTTGGTCAATTGATTGTTATAGATAATTTTATAATTAAATTAAGCAGTGACAATTACCTCGTTGAACTACGTTCTCTGTAACTCCAGCCAAGGTAGCACAATAAGTATCCCAAGATGCTGTAATTCTTCCTGGAACAAGTTTAATTGTTTCATTATAAATACATTCATGTAATTGATAAGGATACGATAACGTCTAAAAAGGACTAATTTTGATGAAACTAATCGAAATAATTATTGATACAAGAATGTGATTTCTTCATCTTGCTCATTTTTGATTATTTCATTGTCGCAAAAGAAATATGCGGATCAGGAGACATTAAATTGTTCTCAAATATTCTAGCCAAATTAATTCAAAATGTTATTTAAAAAATCTTATATTTATGGATACCCAGCAAAAATATAATATTAATTTACCTTGAAAATGTGTTGCAGCAATCACTTTGGGACATTTTAGCCCTCGATTGATTAAATTTTAATCATTCCACAAAATAATCCGTTTAATTATATATTATTTTTTGTAAATCAATTATGCAACAGTATAAAAATACCAGTCGACCCGGTCCCTTTTCCAAATTCATCAAATATAAGCAAGGATCGTTCCGTAGAACCACGTAAAGCAATTGATATTTGCCTTAGATCGATCATGAATGCACTTTGAATACTTTAAATCTAGAATTTAAACAAAAATATATTTCTTTGGATATAATTAAAGAAATCAAAATATTTTTCTGAGATAGTTTCATGCGTTTGCATCGTGTACTGTAAATATCTTGTCTGTAAGCCCAATAACAGCAGACAGCTATAAAAAAACACAAAATACAATATTCGGGATAAAAATTATTCCACAGTCCCCAAATTCTCGATTTAAAATATATTCTCACTTGCATAACAGTGATTTAAATACTTCAAGTTTCATTAATTATCGACCAAATGTAAATTTGCGAGAAATCAAATAATAAGAATACCCAAGAGTATCCGCGTTGACATGCAGAAATGTTTTCCTATAAATTTTAAAGTTAAAAAAAAGACAAACCAGTTTATAAAGTATCACTGTGCATGACTTATAACGAGAATTGCTCAATAGACAGTATTTTGAGGTCTTGATCTTGCTGATGCAATAATTCATCTGTGAATTTTGCTCTTGCAACATAGCTAAGCAATGCGGTTCACAAAATCGATATTAAACAAAGTATAAAATATAGCGAATTAAAACTAAAACGTGCTGTCTCAACACTATTCATATCAATAATACTCGATAGCTTCAAATACATGTCTTTTTTTGTAGCGTTGATTTGTGCTGAGTTGAATCCGTGAACCCACCAAATTTTATCGATATAAGTTTCGTTTTTGTTGATGCTCATACGAATTCAACATTTGGGCGAATCTCGACAGTAGATTCTAGGGAATTTGATTCATCTTTCGTATTTATATTTACATAAAGTATTGATAAATAGAATTCTTAACTGAGACAATAAATAATTTGGTTCTACCGGTGGTTTTTAATGCTTCTATAAAATCTTCGTCCGTACGTGAACTTTATGAGAATAATCGATGGGGAGATTTGAAATTATATATACTGTACATGTACATGTACAGTACTTGCACAAATCAAGTAAATCATAAGGAGTGTTATTTTTTCCATATCTTCCATTATAAGTAGCCATGGTATAATATGCACAACCCCAATTTTCGATTTCTAAAATTGACAGCCATTATTACTTAATAATAATTAATAATAAATGAGGATATATAAATATGAAAAAATAAACTTAATCAAATAAAACTTGTTTTATCAATTAAACTATCCTCACGATCTAATGTATAGTGTTCAGTAGTGGTTTCTTCTTCGTTTCCAACTCTTGACGTTACAGTTGTCTGACATCGTTGACGAATTTACATCATTAACAACGTTTTCGTCGTCCTCAATGTTAGAAAATGTGATTCTTCTTCTTTCGCTTTCAACTGCATCATTATTTTCCCTTCTCGAATTATATGTAGTTACATTTTTACGAAGTTGAAATACTTGAAGAGGCCTCATTGACGTTTTATTGTGTTTTTTTAGATCGTTTGCAATTAATGATGCTGAATTATTGCTATTTATATTGGAATTTTGTAGCTATAATTACATGAAAGTTCTCGTCATCAATATTATTGTCATCAAGTGTACCTTGTTTTGACTGCATTCCATTTTGAACATTTTCTTGAATATTTTCTTGTGCCGGTAAAATATATGTGAGCATGGAGAACTCAGTACTTTGTTCCATTCTTTGCCTTAGAAGTTCTGATGGTGGTTTAATTTTTTTAAATGAATATATAAATTTTGTTCGCTCTATACACAATAAAACTCCACCAGTTTTACACGTAGTACTATAAATTTCTTGCTGCCTATGAAATCAGAAACATATCAAGAAATCCGGATAAATTTTTATCACGATAACAGTAAATATTCCGATTTTAAATTTTTATTTAATCGATCACGTCACGATATTGATACATTACTATGATAAATGTTTTGTATATATTTCTAATGCTCAGGAGAATTCAGAAAATACATTCATAATAAAATTCACAAAAATAAACATGTTTACCTTTCCAAATTACAATCTAATAGTGTCAAAAATAAAAAATATTATATGATAACCTGTTGGCACGTCTTGTTTTTATAAATTGTTATTATACTACAGTATAATGAAGATTGACCTTCACAAAAATCAACATTCATTTTAAACCAAGCAATATTGGAAAATTAGATATAGAAATCAGTAATACAAGAAAACAAATACTTCTATTTATTATGTCAGGATTTTAGAAACATCCGGGATTTTGGGCATGTGGGATGGTTAGGCGTTCGGGATTTTGGGCGGCACCCCTTAATAATACCTGTATTCTGACTAGTCCTTTATAATTTCGTCCTTAAATCATCAATTTCTTCTTCTAAAGCTTCTCCGGTCTGTTTTCGGATAACTTGAGGACATCCATGATATAGTCCTTCAAGCTATTATTATTACCAAATATCTAATCAACAAATCAGAAATTATAATCAATGACATGGGATCCTTACATTCATTCATTATTACGGTATAGATAGAAGAGATAGATTACGGTATAGATAGAAGAGATAGATATTTAGGCACCTCACCAACAATCTGTCAAATAAATTTCAGTCATCGAACATA